AGACTAATCTACTAAAAAATCGTCGGCTCTGTGGCTAAGTCGATGCGAACGCTTCGTAATGCCGGGATGCTAGGTTCGATCCCAGCTGCGGGCTATGCGCCTTGCGTTGGTTTCGACAGTGGTATCAAGAAAGCCGACCATTCAGAGGTAATGGCAAACTACTGGAGATAAGTTTGCCTAAAAAAACCCACACAACAGCCAGGGGCTGTTGGGGTTGGTTCTGCAAAGTCCCGTAAAGGATACGCAACTAACCTTAAACTCAATAAATCATTACCGTTTGTTAGTTTATTCTATTAAGTAAAGTTAAAGTAAAGGTTTCTTAACACGCCAATGGTGCTTTGGGCATATAGGGCTAGACTCTTTTTTTCATAGACCTTTATGGATGATGTGGTCAACATCACACAAATGTATCAAACTGCACCCGTAAATATGCCTTTTACACCTAATTGGGAGCTTCTTCGAAGTCGCAGGGCATCTACCTGAGTTGTAAGCAACCAACAATCTGCATACAAAGGTAAAGGTGAGAGGATCGACTCCATTGCACCAGGTTTTATTCCAGATGACTTAGTCTCTCGCCGCAGAACAGCTAGATGCCTGCAAGAGCGTCGCACAGAGCACAACCTTCGTAGCTCTGGCGACGATCCCCAGGGATTTTCGTAAAAATGAACTCGTGAAGGAAACTGCGCCGCCGTGAAACGAACCCACGACATTCAAAGCGTGGGGCAAACGGCTTGACCACTTCGCCACAGAGATTTTTATTCAATTTTATATTATTTTACTTCTATTGTTCATACCTTGGTTCCTAGGTCGACCCGGCCACATCATCGGTCAGGTACCGATTGGTCTTTAAAATATAGGTCTAATCCTATGTGCCCAAAAGGCATGAAGGCGTGGAAAAAAGATCCCTTACTTTTTTCATTTGTTGCTTTTACTCAGTGACGAAACCTGGGGCGGTCGGCACCCCCTTCCTACGCCCTTGGGGGCCGCTTTTAGCACAGTCGATAAGAGGCTCACTTTCAAATCCAGCTGCGACTCGCTGCAGCCCACGGTCGGAGTTCGAAACCGAGCGGCTCCCGGCCTCTAGGAAATGGGTACCAGAGCTAACACTCTGGGGTAAATGGAGAAACGTCGCTGTAGCTACAGACTTACGTGCGAACAGCGACACAGGCGGACAATTCTTATCAGCTGTCCGTACTGGTGGCAGAGCACTTATGGTTTATAACCGTGTGTAATGACGCTGGTTCACATCCCCCGACTTTATCTTTACCTTGCCCCTGAGTGAGGCAAAGGGTCATGTTCAACTCTTGCACATTAGACATGTAGTACTACATCTATATATTTTTGCAGACCAAAAAACGCTTGATGGACGGTGCAGTCAACATCACTCTGTCGCCTTTATTCCCCATGACGTTGATCAATAAAATTAAGTAAAGTAAAGATCCCCTTTCACGCCTTAGGCGCATCGGGTATAGTGGAAATGCGTCCCATATTTTTACAGACCAATCAGCACTGGATGGGTAATGTGGTCAGCATTACTCCGGCCGTCTTTACTTCCCCAGGACAGCCATCCTGGTACCCATTTGAGACTGGGTCGGCCTGCGACGCCCCATACCACGATAAAAATCCACGCAGCCTGAAGTGGGTTTTGATTTCCCTTGACATTACCTAACGTATTTTAGGCTAGGTCGAAATGGGAGCCAAAGTTTCATTAAGTGAGGGCCTCATCTACCCTTTATACACCATCAGAACATCCCCCTCCTCCTCCTTCTCATCATTATCTTCATCATCATCATCATCATCATCATCATCATCATCATCATCATCATCATCATCATCATCATCATCATCATCATCATGTGCCTTGTCGGCTGGCGTAGGCCATCATGTCTGCCAACAATCTGCGATGATCTTCAACAAGATGTGTCGCTTCGTGTGTTGACACCCATGACAAAAGGCTGTCAAGAATCTTCTCGTGTTGTCTTCCTGTCTCTCTCTCTTTCCTCCCGTGCCCCCAAATCTTTCAATATGCCCCCCTCCCCCCCCCCCACAGAAAAAAATGTTTACAGTCTTTTCACGAAGTGAGTATTAAGTTGTATTTCAGCCTTTTCCTTTTCCTAAACATCTTGGTTGCTCTTTTAACCCCCCCCCCCCCCCCCGCCGAGCAATGGTGCACTATACTACGTGTCAAGTTGTCACATCCTTCGCTACTGCGTGCAGCTGGACCTCGAGGTACACCTGTTATTTCCTAAAGCTACTAAGATCATTGAGAGATGGTAGCTTTTGTTCACCATCTGTCCCTCTTCCACGGGACTTTGCCGTTGTTAAGACATATGCCAGTTGCTCCTTGTCATGATGCTTTTTGGATAATGCTAACACTTTTGGTCTTATCAGGACGTTTTCGATATTGGACATAAAATCAACAGAGATATGATAATAGAGATTAGGTTCTAATTTGCAGCAAGCATTTTCTATCAGACACGAACGATAACCTCGTGAACTGAAGAAAACCATTAAAAGACAACCTGGATAATGATGTGTTTTATCACAGGATCTTTGGAGCATTCTCAGGAAGAGGCAAAAATCTGAAATACTGAACATCTTGGGGAGATGTTGGACAGAAAAACTACACACATACACTCAAGCGCACACCTATTTAGCGAACTTTAGATACATGGAGATACGATTCAGTTGCTCGCTGATCACACCCAACAGAAAAAGAAAAGATGCAAGAAAAGTATAATGCCTTTGTGCAGCAAATTTGGAAAAACGAAGATGAAAAGGAAAGGGGATGGGTTGAGAAGCTGGAACAAAAAAAAAAAAAACCCAGCTGAGATTAAACGAGTTTAGATAGACACTAATATCGCAGCGCTAGGGGCATTCTCCTGAGCACATCTTCCACAAACAGCACATAATTCCAACTGCATTGGTATCGTCAACAGACAGCACAGAATTCCAAATGCATTGGTATCGTCAACAGACAGCACAAACTTTTCAACTGCACTGGTATCGTCAACAGACAGCACAAACTTCCAACTGAAGTGGTATCGTCAACAGACAGCACAAACTTTCAACTGCATTGATATTGTCAACAGACAGCACATAATTCCAACTGCATTGGTATCGTCATTAGACAGCTGTCCAGACATTGCTGATCTATTTATACCTTCACACCGTTCAGTCACTCGTAATATGTATCGACCACATCTAACTTGTAGAAGAAGAAGAAGAAGATGAAGAAGAAGAAGAAAGAAGAAAGAAGAAGAAGAAGAAGAAGAAGAAGAAGAAGAAGAAGAAGAAGAAGAAGAAGAAGAAAGAAGAAGAGAAGAAGTAGACGAGGAAGAAGAAGAAAAAGAAGAATAAAAGGAAGACGGGGAAGAAGAAGCAGCAGCAAAAGAAGAAGAAGAAGAAGAAGAAGAAGAAGAAGAAGAAGAAAAAAAAGAAAGAAAGAAAGAAAGAAAGAAAGAAAGAAAGAAAGAAAGAAAGAAAGAAAGAAAGAAAGAAAGAAAGAAAGAAAGAAAGAAAGAAAGAAAGAGAGAGAGACAGAGAGAAAGAAAGAAAGAAAGAAAGAAAGAAGAAGAAGAAGAAGAAGAAGAAGAAGAAGAAGAAGAAGAAGAAGAAGAAGAAGAAGAAGAAGAAGAAGAAGAAAAAGAAAAAGAAGAAGAAAAAGAAGAAGAAGAAGAAGAGGAAGAAGAAGAAGAAGAAGAAGAAGAAGAAGAAGAAGAAGAAGAAGAAGAAGAAGAAGAAGAAGAAGAAGAATATCCCTAAAATGCCGAGAATGATGGATTCCGTTTGTTACAAATCCTGATCTCACAGTCAAACTGGACTAACCTCTGTAATCAGGGAATGCCACCGTCAAGGGAACCCGCTTCAGCTTTTGCTGAAATATGTCTTTTTTGTTGAGGAACAGGACAATTGGTGATCGGGAAAATCCACTGTGCCCGGCAACTGTTCTGAACACGTTCAATGCATCATGAATTTCTGTCTGAAGACAAAATGGAATAGATTGTTAGCATGATACACCATGGAAAGGAGCGGAGCGGGGAAGAGATCAGGAAGACAGTAGGGATAATGGAAAACATTGTTACAGACACGCTAATAACGTAGTTTCTCAAAGAAAGCATATTAAATAAAAGCAATGGCAAAAAAACTCTTGAAATCGGCTTTGTTGTAGAGAAAACAAATTACACCCACTGAGATGTAAGGAACCAACAATCTGCATACGGTGAAGTCAGATTTGTGAAATGGATGTGCACACAACACAAAGGTTCTGGAACAAGGCTAAAGTCCAGAGGTGGACAAACGGCCAGGAATTTTCGCCAGAGTTTACAGCCAGTGAAAGCAAAGAAAAAGAGGAAGAAGAATTATGGAGGTTTTTTTTTTTAACGCGAGCTGATCTTGCTAGTCGCACTCGCCATCGCTGTGGGATATCATTCTAATGCCTTTCTCTTTAAAAATAGTCTGGGGAGCGTTGACCCTCACGTCAACACAACCTAAAATGGGTACCAGAAAATATATTCGAAAGTAAAGGCGGCGGCACGCTGTTGACCACACCACCTATCGGCTCTGTGGCGTAGAGGTAAGTAAATGCGTTTCACGATTTCATAATTATTAAGGTATACTGACGGTTTACATAAAAATAAAGTTCTCATAGCAATGGGACAGTGGCACGAGAGTCTCACTGTGGAAGAATCTGCAGCCTCGCTACGTAATTTTCTTAAACAATCATTCGATGCTCTCCAGCTGACCTTCATTGCGGAGACGGCCAGCACTGTTTTATACAACCCGTGCGCCAGTGGTGTAAACAAGGTGCTTAAGTTTTGTACACGTCCGACTGATGAAGGCTCTATAGCCGCAACAACCACGTTTTGTTTCTATTTGTTATATTGTGAAGCTTGCGAATATACTTTGCGTTCGGTTTTATATCTTTTCTCAATGCCCAAGCCTCAGACGGTGACAACAGTATACTGGTTAGGCTTTACTGCGGACACGTTACCCGTTACCTTGTCATGATCCTTGCTTTTGACGTCATAGGAACTCAGGGCTACTGTAAAAATGATAGCTGACACGTTCTCGAAGTTCTGTAGCCATTTCTTCTTGACCAGGCAATGTCCATCCACGTCGCACAGCCTGTGATATAATAGAGATGGTTATAGATAGCCACAGACAGGGAGCCACAGTCAGCAATATCATACAGATACAACAGTAACAGATCCAGAGGTCCACCACGCAGAAGATGGACCGCCGAAATATAGGAGACATTTTAAAATATTACATACATACATACATAGCGGCTCGAAGGGTCCGTTCCAGATATATCTTCCTGTCTTGATGCAAGGATTTCCAGCAGTAGAGAAAATAATTCATTACAGAACAACAAATGAGATGTTAAGTCACCTGACGAGAATGCCCTGGTATCAACTGCCAAAGAGACCCAAACTGAAAAAATATAATGAACATAGAGCAAGGGGAAGACCACACAAGACATGGAGCGACATAATAAGAGCGACATAATAAGGAGCAACCTAACAGAAATGAACACCAACTTGTTCAATGCATTGAAATAAAAAGCGCACAAACGATCCCTAAATCTTTCCCCCCCCCCCCTTTTCCAACACCTCGCTGAGGGAAATGGTGGAAGAGTAGAAGAAAAAAAGAAGAAGAAGAAGAAGACGAAGAAGAAGAAGAAGAAGAAGAAGAAGAAGAAGAAGAAGAAGAAGAAGAAGAAGAAGAAGAAGAAGAAGAAGAAGAAGAAAAAGAAGAAGAAGAAAAAGAAGAAGAAAAAGCAGAAGAATAAGAGTAAGAGTAAGAAGATGATGATGACAGAGGAGGAGAAGTAAGAAAACGAAGACGACTAAGAAACAACTACTGTCCAGAACTCCACATCGCCCACAGTTTTCCCTGCACACACATCAGCGACACTAGTTCTTTATAATCACAGACCTCTAATTCTAAAGGATAAACTGAAGCGTCTCGCTAGACATGGCCGAACTCATTCGCCTCAGACGATTTGACGAGGCAGTCATTCATCGGGCTACGTCAGGCGCGAAATGGAATCGAGGCAAGGTACAAAGCATAGCCAGGTCATGTCTCTAGCTTCCTGTTCGTCCTAAGTCCCATTCTCCTATCTGTAGTTATGTTTGCTTATCATGCTTTACGACTCCTTACTTTAGCTTGGTCATCTTAACACGAGTAGGACTCTGAGGAGTGACTGACCGAACGGGTAAGAACGTTGGGCTTTTGAGCGAGAGACCCAGGTTCAGCACACAATAATAATGATAATTATTTTTATTGCACAATTAAACAAGGCTTAAGTCACATTACAATATCTAAAGAGAACATAGCAGAGCAAAGCAAAATGGGCAGCACTAGGAAGGTAAAGGTAGCCGGTCTGATAATGATGGCCATGTCAACCATCGTGTGCCGATAAGTCTATAAAAAGGGGAGCCGCGTTAGCGCAGTCGTTAGGAGGCTCGCTTTCAAGTCCAGCTGCGACTTGCAGCCACGGTCGGTGTTCGAAACCGGGTGGTTCCCGGGGTTCACCCAGCCTCAAGGAAATGGGTACCAGTGACACCCTGAGTCGAATGGAGGAACGTCGCTGTAGCTACAGAGTTACGTGCGGACGGCGACACAGGCGGACAGTTTTTTTATCAGCTGTCCGTACTTCTTCTTCTTCTTCTTCTTTTTTTTTCTTCTAATCTAATCTATTCTCTCTCTACGCCTCTGGCCAGAACACTCACACGCTGAAGCCCTTCTGTATGTTCCTAAATGTGCCTGCCCAGTCTGGTTATTTGCAGAAATTCTATTATTCAGGAAGAGGGCGGAAAAAGGAGGGGATGGGGGAGGGGGGGGGGGGCATATTCTAAAGCTATTTTACACCAGCCTCACGAGCTAGTAATAACTGCTCGGCGGGCCATAATGATCCTGCGGGCCATAGTTTGCCCACCTCTTTTCTAGCAGCACAAACACACAAGCATATATATATATATATATATATATATATATATATATATATATATATATATATATATATATATATAGATATATATGGTCGGCTCGCTAGGGCCTTGGGCTAAACCGGCTGAGTGGCGACTGGGTGACAAACCCCTTGTGGTCCGGGTTCGCTCCTGGGGTTAGGCAGAAAAGCCACATATTTCCCAGATTTACGGTACCTATCATGGACGAACCGAACATTTATTAAATTTGCTTACGACATAAAAATAATCTACACTCTACACCTGCACAATGTTTTACCTGAATTCGAATCCTTTGAAGTTAAACAGAATCTCGCTGAGGCCCCCAGTTCTTTGCCTCACTCTAAGAATATCGTAGTCACTGGGGGAATAGGTATCTGCCATGATTCTGTCCAGCGAACGGAATAGACTGAAAGAGACAACGTCACAGTTGAGTAATTGTCCCAGTAACCGTTCATGACATCTTTAATAATAATTACTTACTTGTCAGTCGCACTAGTGTAGCGCCTAGATGCTCGCATGCGAATAGGAAAGTCATGGGTTCGTGTCCTAAAGGAGTCGGACATTTTTTTCAAAAATGACCTGGGCTCCCAGGTCGACCCAGCCTTAAATGGGTACCAGATGCAGTTCTAGGAAGTAAAGGCGGCCGGCGTGATGCTGACCACATTACCCACCAAATGCCGATAATTCTATAAAATATATGTCTAAGCCTAAATACCTAATAAGCCTAAAGTCGTGCAAAATAGTCATTATTTTCACTTTACTTAGTCGCTCCTCTTCTACCTTGGGGTGTAGAAGCTTGCCAGAGAGATCGCCAGACTTCTTTATCAGCAGTTTTCTTTCTTTTTTTTTTCTTTGGCTTTGTTCCATTCGAGTTACCTGTCAGTCTGGGACTGTGGGATGTTGTCTTCCCAGCGAGCCCCGGGTTGCCCTGGTGGTTTGGTTCCCTGGTTTTTGACCTCGCATGCCTGCCGTGATTGCGGATCATCTCCCATTCTACATACATTCATATTCAAACTATCGTAAGTATGACTGATGCACTCGAGTTTGTTAGACCTAGGCTTCACCGTCATGACGTATTGTCTGATTGTAATAATAAGTAAGTAAAGGACCTTTTCCCACGCCTTTAGGCGTATAGGGCATATAGGGCTAGACCTATATTTTAAAGACTAATCGGCACAAGATGGGTGATGTGGTCGGCCTCACGCCGGCCGCCTTTATTTCCAGGGACTGCACCCGGTACCCACTCAAGGCTGGGTCGACCTAGGAGCCAGTCATTAAAAAAAAATCTAACTACGCCAGGGAGCGAACTCACGACTTTCCGACCCACAGGCGAGCGTCTAACCGCTCCGCCACGGCGACTCCCGATTGTAATAATAATATTAGTAGTAGTAGTAATAATAATAATATTAACAACAATAACAATAATAACGTGCTAAAGGACCATTAAAAACCCGTCATTACTGCCTAAGTATATCAGTTTTGCGCTGTAGGCATGGGATCTTTCAGCCCGACGATGTACAGCCACACAGCTTTTGCTGTCGACGCAGACTGCAAATTAAGATTTTATTTCTGCCCAAGACAACCCCCCCCCCCCCAACCCCCTTAAAAAAAAAAACACCCAACCTTACTGAGGTTTTGAGCCCTGGTCTCACCCATAATAGTGCCTTGACTCTGTCCAGTAAACGAAATTGTCTTTAAAAAAAAAAAGTCCATGTGACAGTTGAGTTGTTGTCCCAATAATTGTAGAGGACATCTGAGGGAGAAATGGTCACCAAATACGTGATCTTCTCAATGAGAGCAGTGGCAGGACGGGGATTACTTATCGATCTGGTTTTCCATCTAAACTGTAACCGTCAGCAAGAATTAAACGATAACTACCGTTAATTATTATCAACATTGTGATGATAGTGGTGATGATGATGAGGATGCTGATAATGAAGAGGATGATGCTGATGATGCTGATGATGATGACGAGGATGATGAAGAGGATGATGATGATGCGAAGGAGAATGAGGATGTTAAAGAGAATGATGAAACAGAGAATGATGATAAAGAGGATGATAATGATACGGATGATAGGAGGATAAGGATGATGCTGATGATGATGGGTAGGATGATAATGATGATGATGAGCATGATGATGATGATGATTTTTATGATAATCGTAGTGATGATAATGGTGATGATGATGATGATGCGGATGATAATGATGAAGATAAGGTTGATGATAAAGATGAGGATGCTGAGGATGATATTGATGAGGATGAAGATGATGAGAATGATGATGATGAGGATGATGATGAAGATAATGATGATAATGCTAAGGATGATGAGGATGATGATGATGATAATAATGATGATGAGAATAATAATGATGAAGATGATAATCAGAATGATGATGATGATAATAATGACAATGATGATGAGGATGATGATGAGAATGATGATGATGATGAGAATAATAATGGTGATGATGATGAGGATAATGATGATGAAAATAATGATGATGATGAGGATCATGATGATGAAAATTATGATGATGATGAGAATTGTAATGATGAGAATGATGATGATTTTGATGAGGGTAATGATGATAAGGATGATGATGATGGTGATGATGATGGTGATGATAAGAATGATGAGGATGATAATGTTGATGATGATGAGAATGATGATGATGAGGATAATGAGGACGATAATGATGAGGATGATGATGAGAATGATGATGATGATGATGATGAGCATGATGATGAGCATGATGATGATGATGATGGTGAGAATGATGATGATGATAATGATGATAATGATGATGATGTTGAGGATGAGGATGATGATGAGGATGGTGATGATGTGGATGATGATGATAAGGAGAATAGTAATGATGATGATGAGGATGATGAGGGTGATGATGATGAGGATAGTGATAAGAATAATGATGATGAGGATGATGGTGATGATGATAATGACGACGATAAGGAGGATGATGATAATGAGGATGATGATGATGAGAATAATGATGATTATGAGGAGCGTGATGATGAGGATGAGCACGATGATGACGAGAATGATGATGATGATGATGAGGATAATGATGATGAAAATAATGATGATGATGAGGATCATGATGATGAAAATTATGAAGATCATGAGAATTGTAATGATGAGAATGATGATGATTTTGATGAGGATAATGATGATGAGGATGATGGTGATGATAAGAATGATGAGGATGATAATGTTGATAATGATGAGAATGATGATGATGAGGATAATGAGGACGATAATGATGAGGATGATGATGATGATGATGATGAGGATGAGCATGATGATGATGATGATGAGAATGATGAGGATGCTAATGATGATAATGATGATGATGTTGAGGATGAGGATGATGATGAGGATGGTGATGATGTGGATGATGATGATAATGAGAAAAATAATGATGATGAAGAGGATGATGAGGGTGATGATGATGAGGATGGTGATAAGAATAATGATGATGAGGATGCTGGTGATGATGATAATGACGAAGATGAGGAGGATGATGATAATGAGGATGATGATGATGAGAATAATAATGATTATGAGGAGCGTGATGATGAGGATGAGCACGATGACGAGAATGATGATGAGGATGATGATGATGGAAATGATGATGAGGATGATGATGATGAGAATAATGATGATGATGAGGAGGAGGATGATGAGGATGAGGTTGGTGATGGTAATAATTATGACCTACTACTTCTTCTTCGCGTTCACCGGCTGTAAACTCCAGCGAAAGTCCTGGTTGTTCATCCACTCCTGGACTTTAGGCCTAACCCAGAGCCAAAGTTTTGTGTGTACATCCGTTTTACAGATCTGATTTATTCGTATGCAGACTGTTGGTTCCTCGCCTTTCAGGCAGACGCACTTAGACTTTAAAGAAAACACCCCTAACTAGTCGCCTGCTACGACATGCTTGCTAGGGGGCATTGGGCTATTGTTTGTTATAAAAAAATATAGCCCCAAAAGCCGCGCGAGGGAGGAAACATTCTGAGGGCCATTTATAAACGAATTCTGATAGAAGACACAAGGTTAGCCGAAATAACCGGAATAAGACTATGAAAGAGAAATCAGGCGTGGATCCGTCAAGGAGGGAGTTAAGTTGCGTGGAGTTGATTAAAGAACCGACATCACAGCAATCGGGGCATCCCCATAAGCGCTCCGTCACCCATCCTCAGCAGCAAGTGAAGAGCTCCGAAACTAATGGTGCCAGCAGCATTTTGATTAAACGTCCGTTTTGCCTTTTCTCTGAGCCTCGAGCATCTGCCAGAACCTCTCGTCACTCCCCGCTGCATCAGTCTCACCAGACTGTGGCGATCCATCTGCTCCTCGGAACTGTACACGCTCTCCCACAAGGCACTAACAACGTCTGCCCTATCATGTATGAGTATTCCACCACATTGTGCAGAGCCAGCCAGTCTGTCCGCCTGTTCATTTCCCAATACACCGGCGTTTCCAGGTGAGAAAAATCCAGACAATACACCTCCGCAGTGAAGCATGCCACTCTGCACGAAGCATGCCTGTCCTGATCTTCCTCAGCATGCTTTCTGAGTCGACAAGGAGGGACGTGTTAGAGAAAAAGAATGACTTGTGTATAATCAGTGTTCTAGTGGAACAGTTAGCATCTACACCTCAAGAGGTCAGAAAAGAAACTGGATTATTATGGCTTGGAGAGAATGATGCACCTGGGGATGACCAGAGGGTCTGGCCGGCTCGCTACACTCAGGGGAAGGGCAAGGCGAACATATAACCCTACTGCCACCAGTACCATTAGTACTGGTACTCTGCGCTGGCTGCTGAAGATGGGGATGGAACACATATGCGAATGCCTCGAGTGCGGTGATCTCAATTTTTGACCCAGCTCAAATCAAAAAGTTTTTGTGGGAAATGGAGCGTCTATGGGTATGCCAAGTGTTCTATGATGCCGATGAGTAAATCAGTAAATGAGACGATCATCATCATCATTGTCGGTCTCGTCACAACCACAAGCGTAGTCACCACCACCACCACCACCACCACCACCACCATCATCATCATCATCATCATCATCTGGTAATAACGACTGATACAATACTACACAAAGCTGTATGAAAGATGTGTGTTTGGAATGAGCGGAATATAAGACCGGCTTGTGTGCCCTTAAAAATAAAGTTCAGTTTCCCCAAGCTCTCATTGTGAAAATAAGGATTATCATAAGTCCGTCGTAGTCTGGACACTCAGACACACTTGTAATTGTCCGCAATATGGCGCCTTTCAAATGTTTAACTAATGCAATTAGAACTTCTCTAGCTCAGTTAAGGTTCTTTTCTGTCAAGCGATTTAGGGAAATTCTAATGTATGAGGGTTGAGGGCTAGGGT